ATATGATTTGGGGCAATAATATCTAACCAGTGACAAGTTTGTAGTTTTGAGTAAAACATGCATGCATAGCTTCCAGTATATGTTAGGTACTAATAAGCAATGCTTGCGTTTCGTTCATTCCCCAAGGCTTAGCTTTATCATCTGTAAGATGAGCCGGTTGAATATAGCATCTTTAGGCTTTAACGTTCTATCATTGCCATGATTACACTGTTGAGTAAAACATTAGAAAGACCTGGTAGCTGCTGGTGTGTCTTGAACAAGAAGAATGCTGTTGGCAAGTCAGGGACCATAGACTTTCCTTGATGGATGAGTTGGAGGGAAGACCCACCCAGGGCAGATTAGGTGGATATTGTATTTGCATTCTGTTGTGTCTACAGATGGGCTGCTGATGGTAATCAGATCACAGGGTATTAGTCAGCCACTCTGTCTAGTAAATAACAGAAAAACTGATTCAGGGACACAGTCCAGCTGGCAAAGTTGCCTTTGGGGCAAAACCAAAGCACAATGGACCTCTCTCCCTTCCTTCAAACTGTGTCTGATTATTAATTCATCATGAGAATCAACAATTATTCATTTTTAAATTAAAATAGAGAAATTAAAGGTAACCTGTGGACCTTCATTTAGATTAAAAGCACACACAACTGTGTGTTTATGTACATTACAGGGATGTAAGCATATGCACCAGACTGTAGGAGTACCTAGTTTAGGTGATGCTTGAGTTTGGTTTGGCTTGATTGTCTGTATTTTCTATAACTATTATGCACTACATTTGGTAGTGAGAAGAAAAAACGAGTTATGAGTGTTGTAAGAAATTCCCATGGAGACCTAGGAAGGTTGCCTGTCTAATTCAAACTAAGTACAGAGGTCTCTCCTCCCTTTGTGACAGTTTCCTGAGAAAGAAAGATTAAATGTCCCTGTAGGGAGCTCTCCCTGCAGTATAACTACATAATATGACTGTGGCGCCATGTTCTTATACAGCTCTTGAGGCATTCTGCCTTTGAACATGAACTATGTGAACACTCTAAATTCTATTTGTCTGCTCATAGTATCTGCACTGGTAAATATGCTGAACCATAGAACATTGACCTAGAAGATGTGGTGGAGAGGATCAAAAGGTTTAAGGTTTTAATTATGAGTTTATTTGCACAGCTGTGGGGCCTTGAAAAGTTACTTGATCATTGGAACATCTGAAAAATGGGATAAAAAAATATACTCCACAAATTTCCCCTTTGTGGATCAAATGAGACAATAAAGGCCCTGATACATAGTGAAGTCTCTTCTCTCCTTTGTTTTCCTTTGCAACCTCAGTGTACATACCCAGGCTGGTGAGTGAACTTGGGTTATGGGTTCAATGTAGAAGTCAGCCTTGTAGGGCATTTGCAGTGTGGTCTGGCTTTTCAAAGATAAGATGAGATCTGGCTAAGGTAAGTGCCATCTTCTCTGGCCAACTTAGTCACCAAATTGTTTTATTAACTAAGCAAGAGATCTTGCTACATTGGTCCACAAGAAAAGTAAGGTCTATTTTTAACCAGTTGCAGCAAAACCTCTTTTTCTTCTCCTCTGCAGCATCCTGTGACAAGCTACAGTTCCCACCAGTGAATGAATTTGTTTTGAGTTATTTTGGGGACTTATTTCTTAGATGATCATCTCTGGGCTAACTCAGAACATTGCTTCAGATGAAAACCCAATCCAGAATTTGAAATTGTCTTGGCATCTACAAGCATTTGCTTCATATAAGTATTTAAAATGGGCTATTAATTTTTGGTATTAGCGATATAGAGAAAATGTTGTGTTTATAGTCCAAGTTGTAATTTAGAGTGTTTCCTGATTATCTCCCAGTCCTCTAAATAATATGAAAGGAAAGATTAAGATTCAGAAGAAATATAACTCAGAAACACTGCAAAAGATGTCAATAAATAATTTTCAAGAACTATTGTGCCATACTGAGTATTTTGGATTGCTTTCCGAGGTCTCTATACCAAGATTTGTGTATGTAGAACTTATTTCATATTGATGTTTGCATGTATTACTAGATCCAACACACTCTCTAAATTCAATACATTCTAAACTAATTTCCTCCATGTTGGTTCTCTTCTTATAATCCTTCTCACGGTGAATAACTTCTAATATCCAAAAGTAACATCCGAGAATGTCTTGACACACCCCTTCCTGGGTATCCAGCTGTCTTGCTCTCACACATGTAGGGAGAATCTTCTCAATGATTCCAGATCCCTTTCTCTTCTGAATCCACCCATTTGTTTGCTGCCCAGTCATGTCTGCATCACTGCAGTAGCCAGTGGTGCCCCTGGCTTCAGTCTTTCTCCCTCATCAGTCCTCAGATCCGTGAGCGTCATGATAACACGTTTGAGCACAGATCCCTACTATGCTGTGTTCTTTGTTAGACCCAACATCTGCTTTGGAATTCCTTAGTTCGGGAAACAAAGTCTTGAGTACTTGGGCTTCTGCCTCCTCATCTAGTCTCTTCTGAGTCTGCGTCTTTGCATTGTGACCTCTCTGTCTTTGCACTGCCCCTTGTAATCAACATGGGATTCAAACTGATCCCGCTCTTCAGATGCCCATTCCATATCACACGTCACTTCACACTGCCTAGAAGATGCTTCATGGTCCTCACTCAATCCAAGTGAAATGTAAGTTACCAGGCATCACATCTTGACTATCAACTTGGAAACACACTGGCATCTCTGATGTGCTAGTTTTTGGTGTAAAACCCTAAGAAATGGACAGATGGCTAATATTGCCCAACAATAGAACCATAAAGAGGAGTCTTTTGGAATCTGTTAGTAATTTTGTTTCAACATCAATTCTATAATTTTTCTTATTTTGTGTTTATTGATTTGTGCGTGTGTGTGTTTCACCTGAATGTATGAAAGTACACTGTGTGCATGCCTGGTTCCCATAGAAATCAGAAAAGGGTATTTGATTCCCCTGGAACAGGAGTTATGGAAAATTGTTGGCTGCTATAATTATGAACCACCATGTGGATTCTGGGCCCTGAACCCAGGTCCTCTGTAGCAGCAAATGCTGCTTAACCATTGAACCATTGCTCCTGCACACCCCCCCCCTCCTCCTATTTTTCTATTTTCAGACTGTCTCACATTTCCAAAATGCTTAGAAATTTGAATTAGGAATAAACAACATTCAAGAAGAGATGGGATGGGGTGGGGATCTCTCTTGGGGAGATGCAGCCTTGCCACTTTCTTTTGAGGTGTGATAAAATTAAAGGGGGATTAATGTAAGAGTGACCATTAATTATATGGGTATTAGGTGCTTAATATTTTGTTTAATTTTCTACATTTATTTGTTGGCTGCTTAGAAACTTTGTCTTCTTATAGTATTTTCATGTCTTTTGGAAGGACTAGGTGCTATTTGTGCTACTAGCCAATGTTTTTTAGTAAATGATCTTAATTCATTTTCTATTGTTCTACTTATTTCCATATGTTGCTTTTCCTCAGCCATAGTCCATAAAAATGCAGTGCTGGCTATATATTTTTCTGTTTCAATGATATATTTTTTATTTAAAATTTCCTATATCACAATAGAATAAATACACTACCATTATAAGAGATTACCTTGTGTTTTTCTGAAAATCATATGTTGTTCCACAGTTTGCAAAGCGCTATTTTGTTTCATTTAATCCTCCAAATGCCATTTGGGTTGAGAACTCTTGACCTGATTATCATTTGTACTGGGAATGCAGAAGGGAAGCAAAAGAGACTAAATTCTTGGTCTAACCACCAAGCTAGGAAGTAGAAGTCACTGTTTGAGCTCAGGACTATGGGAGGGTAATGACGAAACACAATGACAGCCTGTAGTCAAGGTGGGGGACTATTTGATTCCTATCATAGATTATTATGTGCTATCATTGTAATATTCCAATGCATACAAAAGGGACAGGAAGTAAATATAAAAACTGAATAGTTACATAGACTTAAAATAGAGTTATATGCACTTTTTTTGTTTTTTTTTTTTGCCAAAGACTTTGACGGTATCCTGATTTTGCTCTTCTGATTGAGAAACAAATAGATCTTGAAAATCATTTCTATATTTAGACATAGTACTTTGAGGTCCCAGTTTAACATATCAGTGTCCATTCAGGAGTTTTGCTCAAATCTGTGTGTCTAATGGCTCACTGGGAAATTAGTAAACATATTGAAAATGGTACCAACTATAAGCTAGCTTTGGTATGCTAGTCTCCCATCCTTCCCTCTGCTGCACAGTCACAGGGTGGTACTGCAAGTTTTCTTTCTTGCGTTCTTTAAAAAAATATTTTTTTTTTTGAGAAAACAGATTTGTTTGGGCAAATGAGGAGTGAGAATTCATCCCCCAGCACCTGTGAATTGTTTATGCTAATTGGGTCATGGCTGATGCTAGCTGAGTGTGGGCTGCATGTTAATCCACTCTTTCATATGCTGTATGTGATAGTGGGAGTTATTAATTGATTGGAAGGGTTGCCTTGTATTTTCATGTCATTTTCTTCCTCTCTGTGCCTCATTATCTCGGGTTCTCTCTTCCTCTCACCCTCTGCTCTACACAGGAAATATGAACTCCAATATGAGTTAAGACAGATGGCTACTAGGAGCAAGGTACCCCAAATATCAAGGACCTCCACAAAAGCTCCTTTGTGAGCAGGGCTGCTGTGTTCCAAAGGCATGCTCAGAAGCTGGGGCTGGACTGCATGGCCCTCTAATCGGTAGGACTGGAAGACTGGCTGTCTATATATTTCCTCTCTTTATTCGCTTTCATTCTCTCCTTCATACACAATGTTCTCTGTATTAAACACAGGTTGGGAGAGCCTGGGTGTGAGCAATTAGAGGTTTAAAATGGAACATGTGGGAGGCCAGGAGGGCAGGCTTGGTCATTTCTTTGCCATCCATGAGTGAAGCACAGCGTGCAACTTCCTTGCTAGGCTCACAAAGAACAAATTCCCACCCTACCCCACCCCCAATAGGAATTTGTTGAGGGCGATGATCTGAGCACCACAAAAGGATTTTGTAAAGTTTTCATATGAAACCTTTCTCTGAGATGGGGTCTAGAAGTTAGCGTTTAAGTTACCTGGATAACGACCCAAGTAAAACACAGGAAGGAATCACTTTGTGGGGAGATGTGACTGATATCATTGTGTTGGCACTAGCTAGCAGGACTCTAAGGGCAGACAGGAAGGTATTAGTATAATGTAGAAGGTTGTAATCCACTTGGCAGCCATGCCTTAAATGGGCACTGGATTGACTTGTGGTCCTTGCAGTCTTTCTGAAGAAAACCAGAAAAACAGACCTCCAGCTTCAGGAAAGCACCACAGCTGAGGTCTCAGGGGACAGGGATGGAGAAAGAGCATGGCCTGCTACTAGAAGAACAAGTAAGACTCTTAAATACACGGCGAGCTGTTCTCACAGTGTATTTCCAGTAGGTGACTTGGATGGGTCTCTACAGTTTCCTCTACTGTGTCTGGTTGGACACGGGAATGTGAATGGTGGATGCGCTGAGCATCAATTGGCCAAAGGTGTAAGGCCTGGACTGGGCAGTAGAGGTTACAGGGATTTAGGGAAAGCTCAGAACTCGATTTCTGAATACAGTCAGAGCATCCTTTGAATTGGTCTCAGGTAAGTTCATCACAGGGAAACATGGGGTTCATCTGCTTCATAACTACTTCCAGACAGAAGAAAAACTCAGTCACTATAGACAATTAAGCATTAAAATCTTCATTGTCTCTAGAAATCTGGTTTCAAAGTCTATACTTGTTTAATAACATATAAATTTTTCTTGTAATATGTTCCTTTCTCTTTTGATTCTTTAAAGGATTTCTTTTGTTTTACAACAGATACATTTGAGTTGAGGACTTCCTTTCCTTTTCCACATCTTAATCCTTCCCATCATTCTTTTTATGCACCATCCCTTCAGTCTTAAGTGCTTTCCACTTCCAACTAAAGACTTTAGGACTTTAAAGGAACTGGGGGTGGGAGGAGCAGCGTTTTCCACATCTGGAAGCCTTAAGTCTTTTCTCTGAATCTGGTTTTTCCTTGAAAGTGTAGACTGAAGGATTCTTATTCCACCAGGTCAGTAGAGGCATTTAATAAATTGTAATGGTCTCTTTATACCAAGGATGATGCTGCCCACCAACAAAGTGATATTTAAGGAGACCACTGCACTTGAGGTAGATGGAAGGCATTTAAGTAGCAAACTAAATGATAAACACACACACACACACACACACACACACACACACACACACACACACACACACACAGAGGTAGATGGAAGACATTTAAATAAAAGGATAGTATTAATGACTAATTGACAAGAGCTCTTCTCTCTCTCTCTCTTTCTCTCTCTCTTTCTCTCTCTCTCTCTCTCTGGGACTTCGGGATAGTCAACCATTTCTATGAAGAACCTGAGTCTTACAAAGACTGCGATTTTCATGAGTTGTTGTACCAAGTGAGTGGAGGGATACGGTATGGGATAAAAATGGAATCCTGTACTATGACAGAGACTAGAAACATCAGCCAAAACTCACCATGAGGTGATGTTGAAGCTAGGTCTTGCCTTAAGCTCAGAAAAGGGAAGAATGCTATCGTTAATTAACCGTTGCTAATGACTTGCAACTAATTGAGTGATAGCAAATGTCTTTGTCTCTTGGAATCATGCTAAGAAATCCCAGAGGTATAAAGGTTAGATAGTTGGAGTACATTCAGCTGAAAGCTAAAGATTCAAAAGCCAATGGTTCTGGGGGATTTTGTGGGGGAGGGGAAGGGAGGGGAGCACGGAACAAAAGGTGGAGATGGGGGCAACTGACTGCCAAGGGGAAGGGTTGACAGGGGTTTCGGTGATGTTTCCTCTATTCCGAAAACAACCTGAAGAGAACCTGAGAAGCTCGCCGTGGCATTCATCAGTTGTCAAAACTGGCATTTGCCTTTGTTGAACAAGACAGTGCAGACAAGAGAGAAGGTGCTGTATGACAGGCGCCAGTGACTTCAAATGCCAGGAGTGACGTAAAACGATAAAAGAGGGGAACTATCATCGGGAGCCGTAAATGGGATTGTCTTGTGGCTTTAGTCAACTGACTTTTAACGTGATGAAGGTAATTTAAATGTTCAGGGATGCTGATGGTCTTCAAGTTAAAAATGAAGAAGCAGCAGCAGCTCTCGAATGGTGGAAAGAACTTGAGTGAGGTAAGAGATCATGCTCCCCACTCCAGCCTCCCATTAGAAGCCGTGTGTTTGGGGCGTGGAATAGAATCACTTAGAACCTCAGCTTTCCCATTTGGGAAGTGTGAGCTGGTCATCAGCATTACCTTCATTCACCTCCTTGGTTGATTTGATCAACTGGGCCAGCTGAAAAGGCACCGCTTTCCACCAAGGAACACTGCAATATTTAAAATAGCTTGGGCTTTGCAGTTGGGCATACTCCAATCAGATCCTAGCTTTGCTGATATCTAAATGGATCTCAATGATATCTAAATTTCAAGAATCTTCAATACATCAATCTTAAATTGTGCCTGTGTGTGTATGTATGTTCACATACATATGCATGTGATTGAGGATGTCAGATGTCAAACTTGGTTGCTGTTTCTTAGGCACCATTTACATTGGCAGTTTTGGAGACTCAGTCTCTCACTAAGGCCTGGAACTCAGAAATTAGGCGAGGTTGTCTGTGCAGCAAGGCCCAGAGATCCTATCCCAATGACAGGAACCCTGTATCCTCATGTACACACATGTCCTCAGGCTTCTACGGCGAGCACTTTTCTAGTTACCTCCCCAGCCCTCAATCTTAAACGTTCTCATCTGCAACATGCACGTAACTGCAGTTCCCCTTTCCCAGTTTCATTGAGGATGAACATATGCAAGGCATACATAAAATGCAGTCTCTGATTCGTGTTCATTTCTTGATGTCTATTTGCCACTTTTGATGGTTTGAACCCATTTAAAAGATATGACCATGGGGGTTAAGTGTGTGTCTCAGTGGTGGAGTGCTTGCCTGTGCTATCTGTCTCCGTTGCTGATAGGAAATATTTATAATATAGGATAGTTCATACACTTAACTATATGTGTGGTTAAGAAAGGTATTCAGGCAAAAATAGCTACAGGAGAATGGATTTTGTATACATGGCTTAATGGTAAAGTACTTGCCCTAGGTTCAATCCCCAGCACTCACCTCTCCCCACAAGTAAAAATAAAAATAGTTATAGGATGTGATAAGACCAAGACATACTATAAATCTATATAAAATAGTCAGCCCTCAGATCTCAGCTCTGATTGCCCATTGGAAGCAATTAAAAAGATTCGCTTTGGGGCACTGCCCTTTAGAGATTATAATTCAATTGGACTGCAGTGGGTCTTCAGTTATTGAGGACCTTGTGAAATTTCCTGGGGTGTTTCTAATCTATACTAAATACAATGCTTTCTTTTTAAACTTTAGCACCAATTGTGTAGAAAACTCTCTGAAATGACCCATCATGGTGGAATAACCCAGAAGCCTGTTGGAAACTGGTGCTCTAGAGACTTGGCCATTCAAATTATATTTCATTTAGTCTAGGGACGAACTTGCCTGATGTTCATTTCAACCAGAAAATCCCATGCTATTCGTTTTGTTACACTTTTAATGATGTCCCTTTCAGTTCATCTGGGCCCTATAAAATCACGGAAGCTGGGGTTGGGAATATCATTGTCAGAACCTAATGATGGGTCAATCTGAATCACCACATGGTGATCCATCTGACCTTTGAAGTCATATGCACCTCTGGTTTCCAGAATCTTCCTTTTGCATTACTGTTGGCCTTCACAGAGTTCCCTCCATGTCCCCAGGATTTTCTGGGGGTGAAGAACTCCCAAACTAACCAGGAGAGCATCATCTGCCTCCAGGGGACAACCAGGAGGCCTGTGGGCTTTGCTGCCCCCACCCTGTTCTCCACAACACATCATGCTTTTGATAGCAGAATTCCCAGTCAGCTAATCTTCTCCATCTTGCACTCAACACCAAAGAGAAATGGATATTGGAGAAAACAGGCTGTTTCATTAGCAGAAACAGACTTGACAATCTCGGGGACTTTGAAAAGTTGAAGACTTCTTTTTATACTCCCTTTAAGCAATCTTCCTAGACTCTTCTTGTGTTAACTAACTAGAACACCTTCCTCTATTTCAGAACAGGACATTTTTATTTTCAAAGAAAAATTAAACAAAAATACCTATGAGTCAGTCACAAACATACTTCTAAAACTATTTCTTTAGATAGACATTTTTGTCTATAATTGATTTGGAAGGTGCTGTTTTCTAGAATTTTGTGAATAGCATATACAAAAAAGTAAACCCCACAGAAAAGGAAGAAGGGGAACCCTCAGATTTTTTCTTTCCTCCTTAAAGGATTTCTATCTCTGAGAACACTTGTTCCATCTATAGAAATAGCCACATGAATGAATAACAAAGCCAACAAACACTACAGCCTAGCCAATCGAGTTTCCAGTAACCCGAGCTCTAGATTGTGAACTCTGTGTGAAACTCCCAGTTAGACCATTTCAGAAGGGTATCACCTCCAGGCTTTCAGACCTTCCTCATACTGCTCTGTGCTGGGCTAGACTGGGGGAATAGAGAGCTGCCTGGAGTGAGATTAATCCTCTTTGTTCTACAGGCCTTTGAAGCAGCCATCACATACCCTCCTTCCCCTGGTCCTCAGAGTCTTGACATGGATTCAATATAGGTTTCAATTACGCATTGGACACACGAGTGTTTACTGTGGAAAGAGAGGGTTGCAGGCTGTGGTGTTCAGCCTTCACCCACTCACCATTTACCTGGAACCTTTCAGAAGGCCTAGGGGTTTGACGTCTTTGGAAGACCCAGCACCCATGCAGAGTGGACAGAAGCTGCTGCTGGTGAGCCGGTGGGGGAGGGGGGAAGGGGGAGGAGCGAGGGGAGCGGGGCAGGCATTGTTGTTAAAAGTTTCCAGTTACAGTGGAGGCAGAGCTCCTGAGAGCAGAAGACTCCATGGTGACAGTCCAAGGTGTTGGGGGACCTGGGACCGTGTTTTCAGATAAAGTGAAACAGTGGGTGGGGGGCGCACCACAGCATACTTTCACCATTCTTGAAATTTGTCCTATTGTAGGTTTTTCTGGGACAAGACACAAAATCTTAGTGATTGTATTTACTGAACATTCTGTGCGTGTGTGTGTGTGTGTGTGTGTGTGTGTGTGTGTGTGTGTGTGTGTGTGTGAATGCATGTGTGTATGCTTGCTTTTCACTAGAAACAGGCCATTGAATTACTGTAAGTTAAGATTTCTTATTTGCAAAGCCTTAGCTGTCTCATGGACTCTCAATCAGAGAAAGGAAGGCCTTTAACATGGAATATCTATTTTATTGATTCGCTGATGTACAGTGAGTGGTTTATATAGCAGACGTTGTTTTAAGCTCTTTAAAACCTTGCCTCATTAATGAGCTTAACAACTTAGAAATCTGTCACTGTTATCGTTTTGCAAAGGACTGTATTAATTGATTTTTAAGTACGGGTCCCTAGGGAGGGATGCTGGTTCTGTCACCATTGCTGTCACTCCTGTTTAACTGCAAACTCCGAGACCTCAGACACACCTAGATTTCTGATTTGGGGATCCTGGCCTAGTTGATGTTTGGGGAGCCTACTCTCACTTCTGCAAATCTAGGATTTCTAGATTGGGATAGCGTCGTCCTCACCCACAGGCACACGTGACCCAAAGGAGAAGCCATAGCTTATGCTGCCACCTCCCATGTGTTACCCAGTTATTCCAACTCTGGAGTCTAAACCACCGTCACTGCTGGTGACAATTCTGACCACTCCACCCCCAGAGCTCCATCTGCTGTAGCTACCAGGCTGCCTTGTAATCTTCAAGCCTCCTACACACCCTGCCTGCTTTCCTTCCATAGAAGCCAAGAGTCCATCATCTTCAAGAAAAAGTGAACAGACAGCTTTACCCTCCACAGTCAACTACTACTTCCTTTCTTGCTCTGAGGCTCAGGTGGATGAGCCTGCCCTGGGACCAGACTCAGAATGGAATGCACTGGGGCAGATGTGGAAGTGTAGAAAGTCAGGTCCCATGATAAGGTGGAAGACCCTCTTTTCTCTCTCTTCTAGGTCCACATCTGCTTCTAGTCGCCAACCTACTTGTAGATCCAGAACAAACTGGAGAAGTTAACTAGCCTCTCACTCTTTTTCCTAGCAACACTCTCAGACCTCTTCAAGTGGCAGAGAGTAGAGACGCTGCTGCCCTCCTCTTCGAGGATGGGAATTTGCCATGGTATCATTTTTGCCAAAACAAGCTATGCTGCTGAGCCTGCCAACCCAAACAAGTCCTGCAGATAATATCCAGCCCCTCTTGACTTTCAGAGCACAGGCTCACACCCAGAAAATAGAAAGGGAGGTTTGCAAGCCCTCAAGGTTTCTGGAAGCCACAAGCAATGCACAAACAATTCTTAAGAGCACTTGGGAAAACCAGGGGGATTATTATCAGTGTCCAAGATGAGTTTCCTGTCATGCAACAGGGAAAGACGCCAGGATTATAGCACAGTGTATCTCCTTCTATTTCTGCTTTTGTGACTTCAAAGAACTCAGCTACTGTCCTGTTTAAATAGGACCACTGTCCTCCTTTTCAGTGTGTCCCCTGCATGCTCTGGGGCATAACCATCATTTGACTGAACATCTTTAAAATGTTATGAAAACCACAAACTATGATCTTTTTTAAAAAATCTCCTACCCATCAAGAGGACGAAACACTTGGGATTCTTTTGTTGCTTTAACGATGATAAACATTCTAAATGGAACCTGGGGCAGAAGAACAAGCACGTGAGAGCCCAATCAACTACCTTGAACTAGGTAATGAAAACATACAGACTGCCACACTTCACAAAAGGTGTGTGTGTGGGGGGGGGGGGGACCCTTGAACGTGCACTGAGGGTTCTCCAGGCAGCAACCAAGATCACAAGAATAGATCAGGCAGTTACACAAGTGCCACACTTATCCCAGAAGCCCATAATCCAGCCGGATGGCACTCAGCTAGGTCAGGGTGCCCGAGGATCTCCACCAGTGTAATAGCTGCCTGCCTAAAATTTTGCATGGGGAAATACATCCCTCAGTCCTCTCAGGCTTAACCTCCGGACTCAAGGAGGTGGGACTCATCTTCTAACCTCGCCCTCAGAGGTATGCGCCCAGCACTTGTCAACACCCCTAAGATGAGTGGATTTATTGAGTCCGTTCTGAAATTCCAGCAGCCGTTTAGTAAATGTTATCAATTTGGAAATACTGTTGGATGAACTTTTAAGATGGGGCTTAAGCTGTTGCAGCTGATGCTGAACCGTTTACAGCAAAGCAGCCGGAGGGTGGGTGGGGGCTCCCCTCCTTTCCATTTGTTACCTTGAGCTCCTTGGCTGTAGAAGAATCTCTGTGCTGACTCCACATCCAAGAGTCTATGAGCAGACTCAACGTCCAGAAAATAATCCATTTTGGGATAATCCATATTATCGATGTTCAAAACAGGATTTTGAGAGAAGCTAATCACGTAGATATCTATAAAGAAGAGAAAAAAAACCCCCTACAGTATTCAGGCTGTCAAGTATGTCTATTCTTAATTTTTTTTTAAAAAAAAAATAAGAGTACTCTATTATCATATGCCAACATTTGACTGACATTTTTAATTTCAAAGCCCCCATTGCCAGAGCCTTTGTATTGTATGAGAAGATGCAACCTTTAGTTAACACTGATTAAAAATAATATATTCTACTTTGAAAAAAAAACAATGATCCAGGTTAAAAAGAAGTAATATACTGTTTTCTCTCTGCTGGATATTAGCTGACAAAAGGTATACTTTTAAATTCATCTACTTTAAGTTTTTAAAAGTCTGCCTGATAAATGACATTAGAGGTGCCACCCATCCTGCAGGTTGTTCTTCCATTGATCCAGGGGCTTCTGATGTCCCTTCTAGTAAGAGAATTTCCTGGGAATCCGAGCCTCCTCTCCTAGAGACCTTGCAGTACAGGCTGGCTTGTTTGCTCCAGAAATACCTGGAATTCCTTACTCTCCAGCCATTCCCATCAGCAGTCTATCCAGCGCTACCAGCTCATCTGCCTATGCCCGGTATAGGCTGCTTTGGTACAGAACTGTGGTTCGAGCAGCAGTGAAAAACACCACAGCCTTGCAATGTTTCCCATAGCATGCACTAGCCCGGGATGAAAAAACAGCCAGTCCCTTCTCATGGAGCCCGTGGAGTTTCCCCCGATATTGGCACAAATGAACTACCTCTATTTCTGCACTATTATATTTTTAAGGAGGAGCAAGACAAATTCCTTAAAATCAGGAGGCTAAAGCAATCACTTGTTTTCTAAGACTACACACTCTCATCTAAGAAGCCAAGCCTGGTAAGAGGAAACTTTTTAAAAAATAGCCAAAGGGACCAAAACAGCAAATTATACTTACTGCAAAAAACCCCGTAAAACCAAGAGCTGTCGATAGTCCAAATGAGCAGTTTTAACCAGCTGCCTTTGATCTTACTAAATATTCCCAGCGAAAGTAAACAGTTTTGATTATCTGATTAGATCAGTGATGAATAATGTATTCTGTCCACTGGACTCGCTCTATCAGATAAAATGGCCAGAACATGTTACCTTAGCAACAGAAGGTGACGCCAGCTTCAGCCCCTCCACTCCCTCCTCTGCGAAGGAAGGAAATTACCACTTTCCCATGTAAAACTTAGGCAGGGAACCATCAAAACCTACATGGAGATTTTACACCATCCAGGGTCATTCACAGCCTGCTCGCCCATCTCTTAAGCAGAGAAATCTTACACTTATTTAAAAATCAGAATTATGGTTTAATAATCTATTTTCACAATCTCAAATTCCAGTCTGCTTTGCAGTGAGAACAGAATAACATGGTGAATGATTAAACAGTGGAGAGGACTAAGTTGTCTAGACCCTGCTGGGGCACCTGTTCTTACCTTATTGCTGAATGGGGTTGAATGATGAAGAAAGGCCGTTTAATTGGCAGCATGCTCGACATTTCCATTATAATTAATACACAGAAACAGTCACCAGCATCTAGGCTGAAAATAACTCTTTCCTTCTGTGAAGCGGTCCCTAGAAACAGCTTAAAAGGCTGTCTGAAATTCCCCAGATTTTGAAAGATGCGTTATAACACAGATTTTTATGGGAGACAAGCCCCTAGCCCACCAAAGGCAAGGTAGCCAGAGAGACACATGCAGGGAAGATTGTCAAAGTTAGAAGATAGTCACTTACCAGCTCTTGTCCTCCTTCAACAGGATGCCGCTGGAGAGCAGAAAGCAAGCTGAGCAGGGCTGCTGAGCCTGCGAGCCCAAATGAACAGCTTCTAATTTTCCCTTCAATCTCCAGTCAAGAGCACAGAGTGGAGGGAAAAATGATGGATCTGCCGGTTTTATATTGTGATGGAATGCTACCCCCCAAGATGGGATCTGAGTGGGGCTGCTCTTTAGAACACATTAGCCTGCTAATTTAAGAAAATTGAAAGGTTTTGTTTTACTGTCTTTTATGTGTTCTTTTCTGCTACCCCCTCAATTTAATTTGCATTTAAAATGATTCTCCTGTCTCCTAGGCTCTCCAAGGTGTGGCGTACTTTCTAATCCTGAAGGCTGCTCCAGTAGGGTTTGGTGCACTGCCACTTTCCTTTTGAGCTGCCAAACGAGGTGGGCAATTAAAACTGTGAGCTATTTTCTGGAGAGAATTACAGAAGGCCAGTTGGGTTTCACACTTCCTCTTTCTGTTCTCTGCGTGGTCAGATCTTCAAAATGCCTAAATGCACTTCTCTTTTTTGAATGCAACAGGATTATCTCAACCACGAAAAGCAGCTTTGGTTGGGTCCCTTGGGTTAGCCTGGTTTGACATCCTCTATACCATATTCCCAGGGAAGACTTGTAGGCACAAGACTTTAGAGATGTGCTCACAAAAGCTACGATGATAACCAAGTCACACCTAGTGTGTGTTTTCTGCAGCCTTCTCCCACCTAGTATGGACCAAGCAGAAGTGACAGTTAGTACAGCGTAGTGTGCAGCATCATGATGGGTGGTTAAGACAGGAGAAGAAATGTTTACAGAGACGTGGGAGAGAGATCACCAGACTCCCCTTCCTGTGTACACAGCTCAGCCAAGGCGCAAGTGCTGGTGAGTGTCTGCTAACTTTGAGGACCGCCCATTCATGTGTCTTTCATGCTACCTTGCCTTTGGTGGGTTAGGGGGTTGTCTCCCAGGAGAGAAACCAGGAAATGCTTTTCTGATTGTTGTATGGATCAATAATGGGGTGGGCTCTCCCACCATATCTGAGCAAACCGTGTACCGAGTTAGTGCTGCAGAGAGATCAGCCTGAAGGAAGAACAAAGTGGAATGACCAATCAAATGGCCTTGTGGGGAGTCAGCTTGGTCTCTGAATGCTCTAGGCTTTGCTCAGACCCCAGGCCTTAGGTCTTTAAGGTGGAATTTCTATTCAGACCTCAATAGAGACAGGTGAACACTTGACATTTACAGGAAGACAAAGCTGTCTTCTGGTGCCTTTCACTTACAGTAGGGTGTGGGCGACTAGTTCTAACCCTCTATTGTGCTTCTACTGAAATTATAGTGACTCATAGGTGAGAGACACAAGGGGAGAGAGCAGAGAGAGGAGAGAAGCAGAGGGAAAGGAGAGAAAGAGATTAAGCTGAAAAACATCAGACACTGTGCTAAGTGTAAATGAGCCTGTGATGGAGGAAGGTGATGCTAAATGGGACATTTGAAAAATGGATCGGGTTCCTGAGACTTAGAGTAGGTTTGGGATTCAGTGTTTTTGGAGAGCTGACCAAGCAAAGGAAACTTGAAATGCTTTACAATGTGTTTGGGGCTGGGGAGATGACTCAGTGTGTAAAGTACTTGCTGTTCATGCATTAGGACCTGAGTTCGAATCCCAGGAATCTACATAAAAGCCAGATGTGGTAATGCATGTCTGTAATTCCAGTATTCCTAAAGTGAGGTGTAAAGTAGAGACATGAGGATCCCTGGGAACTTGGCTAGCTTGGCCTACAGCAGCTTCAAACATAAGAGATTGTGCTGACTGACACCTGGAATTGTCTCCTAACCTCCACATGCATGCTGTGGCACATTTGCATGCATGCATGTTCTGTCTCGGTCTGTCTGTCTATCTGTCTCTCTCTCCCCCAAATGATGTACGTGATGTGAAAGGGCTATGATTGTAAAAGATGGGTAGTATTTTAACTTTTAAAAAGCAATAATTTGGAAAGGAAGTGATTTTTTGCTCACAAAAAGGGACTTTATAAATAATCATTATATTTTCAAAATATAATCTAACCAATTTCTGAAACTGATTTTCTTCTTCTTCTCCTCTCCCTTTCCTTCTTCTTCTTTTTCCTCCTCCTCCTCTTTCTTTTGTGAGACAGGGTTTCTATGTAGCCCTGGATTTCCTGGAACTTGCTTTGTTGACCAGGGTGCCCTGGAACTCAAAGATCTGCCTGCCTCTGCCTTCCCAATGCTAGGATTAAAGGTGTGTGCCACCATGCTTGGCTCTGAAATAGATTTTCAAAAACTAGTTTCATTCTCTGGGTAAACACAGACATAGAATACATACATAACATGCATGTGATAAAAATCACCACTATTATTGATGGTACCCAAAGAATCAAAATAGGTGTTGGTAGAAGATTGGGTCACCTCCTCCAGGTGGGTCAAAAAAAAAGTTATATTTAAATTTCAGTCAGTTAAGAGTATAGCAATTTCTGCAGTGCTGGAGATCAAACCAAAGATTGGGTCACGTTAGACAAGCACTCTACCACTGAGTTGTGTCCCTAGATCTTGGTTTGTTGAGTTGTGTAGTTCAGGCTAACCTGAAACCCTGTGTAGTCTAAGTTGACCTTGAGTTCCATATAGCTTAGACTGGCCTTGAACTTCTCCTGTCTTATTCTCCAGAGGTTTGGGATAATAGGCATCACCACCACGTCCAGCTAGAAAATGACTTGTAAATGTTGGAAAATAGTAATTCTCTAAAAGCAACGTCAACATCAAGACCTGTTCAGTTCAGCTGTGTTTTTATAACTACTACCTGTTTAAAAGCATCACTAATGCCATTGTATGTCACACCATTCTTCTGACATACAATAAAATCAGAGTAGGTGGTGATGTTCTGGGCTAACATTCATGAGGCACTGAACTGTTTAACTGAAAAACATCCCCCGAGTTTAAGCTAAGTCAGGCAATGCCGATGTATCTATATGACCTATAAGTAAGACTAATTTTAAAAATTCCACAGAAATCAAACCATATGAAAATATAGGAATGTAGGGCTAAAACCATCTGGATTTGGTTGTGTTTATCTTTCTGTTTCCAGTTTGGTGGTAAGAAGATAGATCTTCAGTGCACATAAAAGGTGAATAAGTATAGACTTGATTTGAAACAGATAAATGCATATGGAATCCAGGTATAAGGGGAAATGTCAGATGTACTAATTTACCTTTGGCGTTTACTGATTCAGTCTATTGGTGCTGTAAGAGCCAATTATTAAGAAAGAGAAGACCACAGCAAGTAAGTAACCTGTTCTTCTTATACCATCTGATTGCTCTTCCCTGGGTTCAGGCAAGGTGTAATCTACTTGCTGAGGTTCTTCTTATTTATAATTCTACAATGGCCTTACTTATTCAGCTGTCTCACTACATTGTAGAACTCTCTAGAACACCCTGTTTAGACTTCATGAAATTCTGCCTTTGGCCTGCATAAAATCTTGGGGACATTTCTCTTTGGTTAATAAACCATCTAAACTTGGGAATATTAGAATCTCTCTTAAAGTAAAATAACATCCTGAAAGTCTTGGCAGAGTACGTAGGTTGAAGGCTCAGGTAAAATGCTAGTTTTCTACACAAGTCCAGTCACCACTCCCTTGAGATATGTGGGAGATTGGTTCCAGGACCCTCATAAATACTAGGATCTTCAAGTGCTCAATTCCTTTACATCATATAGTGGACTATTTTCACACAATCTACAAACATCCCCTTGTATACTTAAAATATTCCCTAGGTAACCCATAACACCTAATACAATGTACATGCTATGTAATTATTGCCTAGAGAATAATGGCACGAAGAACATTTGTGCGTATTTGGTACAGTTGCAATTTTTCACTGAATGTTTTGATCCATAGCTTATTGAATTCATAGATGGGCCCATAGATACATAGGCTGACTATACAGAAAGCTTTATCCGTTTTTATTGAGTTGACCCCCAAATAGGTACAGTTCAAGAGCAGTAGTTTGGAGATGGGGAAATGACTCATCAAGGAAAAGTACTCAAGAGGTGTAGATCCTCAGTACCCATATAAATTCTGGGGAGGCATGATAGCCCATCTGTAATCTCAGCTTTCGTGAAGCAGAGACAGGATCCCTGCAGCAATCTGGCCAACTAGACTAGCTTATTGGTGAGCTCTGGGTTCAAGTTAGAGATCCTATATCAATATGTCAGATGGAGAATGATTCAGGAAGATACCAGCTGTCAACCTCTGGCCTTCGCACAGGTACATCCACAAGTACAAGTATGTACCCACACATATGTGAATATGTGTGCACATGAGCAAAGGGGGAAAAAACAGTGGTTTGTCTCTGTTTGACAAACCATTCTCTTCAGTCTTAACCTTTGACTCATGAGAACTCTTTCTCTTATTTTCTCATTAAGCCATGCACATACTGGAGAACCAAGAAGACTCTGTGGGTTCAAAAGAAAGAAAAGAACACACGGAGTTGGGAGGGAAGAGTGGTAGTGGAGATAGAGGAAGAACTGGGGGGGAGGGGAGGTAGTGGGGGAGGCCGTGATCAAACATTATGTATGAAATTCTCAATCAATAAAAAAGAACAGCCTGTCATCAAATAGCATGGTTCTGCAAACATTTTATCGGAGACTTTATTCATATGAAAATTTCCCTGGAAGAAGAAATACTTTTAGCCACCATCAGTTATTTTTACATAAGAGCAAATTAATTTCTACTGCTGTTTTTGGAGGAAGGTTTGATAATAGTTGGAAGCTAAAATAAAAAGGCAGAGAATTAAGACAGACAGAGAAAAAGAACTTTTATATTGAGGAGGAGGAGGAGCTGAATTTTATTGCACATAGGCCCATGAACATATTTGGGGGACTTTCCTTTTATATAATGTGTTAGCATTTGTCTGTCAGAAGAGAGCATTGAGTCTGTAAATGTCACAAGTAAGATCATGGCTTGAAGATATCTGGATGGCCCAAAGGCATATTCTTTTTTTTTTTTTTTCCAGATTTTATTACTTAAAATGTGGTGGATGTGGGTGTGAGTGTGGGTGTGAGTGTGAGTATGTGGGTGCATGTTTGCAAGTTCACATGAGTGGAGGCCAAAAGCGGATGTCAGATTATCTGGAGCTGGAGTTATGGGTGATTGTGAGCTTCCCAGTATGAGTACTGGAAACCAAACTCTGGTCCCTGCAAGAGCAGTATCCACTGTTAATCACTGAGTCATCTCCAGCTATGGAGGCAGATTCTTGAATCTTCTTCAGGGACATTTATATTGAAAAGTCTTCCTTGGCCAGTCCTCTCTTGGGGTTGCACTGTGAAGTACCTCCTCAGAGAAATTGGCTTGGAAGTTATTGAGGAGGCCGGGGCTCAGCAGAGCAAGTGCTTTTGGCTCCTCTTGCTGCTGCTTCTAAAAATAACCTTTTCCCTCTGTGACTACCTTGGAGAAAACTCAGTTCAACACATAAATAACATGAGTTCAAATACCACCATTTCCTCTGCCAAATAGAGTCTGCTATATTCATCTTGCTTGTGATATGCAAATCTCTACTTTGTAGAAAAAATAGCCAAAAATCATATCTAGTTCAGTGTCTCTAGATATTGGTCTACAAGTAGGGAAATGGGGAAATGTTCAGTTGAGAAAATGAGAAATTGTCAAGCTGCTCTACTGACCACATCTCCCTACTCTCTACTTCTGCAGTCGTGGAAATGAATGTCTAATGGCAGATGTGTCATCAGTGACAGTCTTTGAAATGTGAGTTTTAGGATACATACAACAGTTGACTTCCACTAGAACAAAATCACAGTGCCCTGGATTCTCTGTGTATTTAAAGTTTATTTTCAATTCTCTTGGAGGGACTAAAAATTAATTACAAGTT